GTCACTATACTAAGTTAGTGTGCTCTCAAATGCTAACTAAAGAGCCACACTAACCAAACTAACAAGCTCTCACAACTAGCTACACTAAAGAGTTTGATAACTAGTTTACGGTATTATAAAGAGAGAGAGCAAGATAGTTATACCGCCGTGTCGAAGAATGAACCAATCAATCACAAAAATAAATACCAATCATCTCGGAATCAAATGATGACACAATAATTTTTTACCGAGGTTCACTTGCTTGCCGGCAAGCTAGTCCTCGTTGTGGCGATTCACTCACTTAGAGGTTCACGCGCTAATTGACATCACACGCCAAACCCTCAATAGGGTGTCGCACAACTAACACAAGATGAGAATCACACAAGCCACGAGCAATTCACTAGAGTACCTTTTGGCTCTCCACGGGAAAAGGTCAAGAACCCCTCACAATCACCATGATCGGAGTGGGAGACAATCACCAACCTCCGCTCGACGATCCTCGCTGCTCCAAGACATCTAGGTGGCGGCAACCACGAAGAGTAACAAGCGAATTCCGCAGCGAAACATGAACACCAAGTGCCTCTAGATGCAAACACTCAAGCAATGCACTTGGATTCTCTCCCAATCTCACAAAGATATTGAATCTATGATGGAGATGAGTGGGAGGGCTTTGGCTCAGCTCACAAGGTTGCTATGTCAATGCAAATGGCCAAGAGAGTGAGCTAGAGCGAATTCCGCAGCGAAACACGAACACCAAGTGCCTCTAGATGCAAACACTCAAGCAATGCACTTAGATTCTCTCCCAATCTCACAAAGATGTTGAATTTATGATGGAGATGAGTGGGAGGGCTTTGGCTAAGCTCACAAGGTTGCTATGTCAATACAAATGGTCAAGAGAGTGAGCTAGAGCCGGTCATGGGGCTTAAATAGAAGCCCCCATAAAATAGAGCCATCGTACCCCTTCACTGGGCACAACTCGGGGTGACCGGACGCACCCTACCAGCGTCCGATCAACGGATGGCTGCCACATCATCCCTCTCTTCAAATACTGAGTGCCCGATCAAAACAGTCAAGTGATGACCAAACGCAGCACAGTGCCACGACCGGGCGCTAGGACCCCAGCGTCCGGTCACTTCTAGTAAGGTTCCAGCTGCGACCGGATGCATTAGTTAGATCATGACCGACGCAGAACCCCAGCATCCGGTCATTTGCAGTAAGCCTCCACTTGCGACCGGACGCGTCCGGTCATGCCCGACCGGACTCACCCAACGTCCGGTCACTCAACGTCTCCCCTGTGCGCTGCATATGTCATCATACGTCATACTGACCGGACTCAGGCCCTGAGCGTCCGGTCATTTCTCTCGCCAGCGTTCGGTCATGAGACCAAAACCGTATGCTCACTGCTGCCACTGACCGGACGCGCCGGTCCTACCGAGACCAGCGTCCGATCACTTACAGTGACCTCCGTTCACCTGGGTTTAGCCACCGGATACGTCCATTACGCTCTGTGAAACCCTGTCTTTTCTGTATAGTGCGCCGGTGGCACCATCGGACTGTCCGCACTCCACCGGTGAAGTTTCTAACCCTTGCTCAAATATGCCATACACCAAGTGTATCACCTTGTGCACATGTGTTAGCACTCCACTAGATCCTAAATGCATATGCAATGAGTTAGAGCATCTAGTGGCACTTTGATAACCGTATTACGATACGAGTTTCACCTCTCTTAATAGTACGGCTATCGATCCTAAATGTGATCACACTCACTAAGTGTCTCAATCACCAAAACAAAATGGCTCCTACCACTTATACCTTTGCCTTGAGCCTTTTGTTTTTCTCTTTCTTCTTTTCAAGTCAAGCACTTGATCATCACCATGGCATCACCATCATCATGTCATGATCTTCATTTGTTTCACCACTTGGAATGTGCTACCTATCTCATGAACACTTTGATAAACTAGGTTAGCATTTAGGGTTTCATCAATTCACCAAAATCAAACTAGAGCTTTCAACGGGGCATAGCTTGGTTACACTATTTTTTTCTGTCTATGTCGGTTAAGGACCGACCATTGTATTGGACACTAGACAAGTCACAAACTTATTATCCTAAGCACATACTTGGGTATGGACGTAGGGAAGACTTGTTACTCTCTTATCATGGGTTTTGGCTCTTTCCGAACCGACTTTCATGGTGGTTTTTGGGTGGAGGTCCTTGCACCGCTCTGAATCTAGGACTCAGGAGCGGGGGCTTGGAGTCTAAGTTTGGACGGGGACCTAGACCCCGTGATAGGAGGGTAGTGGGTTGGTCCTGCTTATGCTTGGGGTACAAGTGGGACGTGTGTTTCGGGGTACCTAGGTGGGCTCATTGATTCGCGAATCACCGCGCGTGTCGGTACGACTTGTCTACACTCTAGCATCATAGTAAGAACTGGAAGATGAAAGATGGTAAAAAGGATTCTGATTGCTTACCACCTACTTGCAAGTAGCACAGGTGATTACATAGAATGGTTAGTTAATGAACTAATGTGACTGCTAATAAAAAAACTTAATATAAGGACGCACGCTTAGTAATGCTTCCTGCAGATGCAATAAACCCACAAGCCAGATAACCTTGTATATCATTGGAGTCTTTTTCTTTTCTCCTGTCGGGTAAGTCTTGCTGAGTACAATTGAGTACTAAGGGTTTTATTTTCCCCTGTTGCAGGTGACAGGTGGATGCTAGAGCTGACCCTTGTGTGTGGATTTCTCCTGGTTGGTTCAGAGATGATTCCTTTACGCTGCGATCATAGTTTTATTTATAACTCTCACTAAATGTTTTATAAATAGAAGTTTTATAATCTGTTGACATTGTTTATATATCAATGTTTATCATATCATGAATAGACGTTTATTTCCGCTGTAACTCTGTTAACATGTTTATATTCCGTTGTTAAATTAAATTGTTCATAACTCTGATAACATGATCATATTATGCTATTATCAACAGTAAATATTATACTCTAATGTTGCATAAAAAGTGATGTAAGAAATAGTAAAATGTTGTAAGCTTTATTCTCTCATTTGTGATCCTGATGGAAAAATGTGGATTTTCGGGTTCTCTCTTGGAGTGTGCTCGACGGAACTGTGAAATTTGGTGTCATTCTTTGGGTACTTAATGTCTAATAAAAGACAAGTACTTTTAAGAAGGCATTAGATTAAGCGGTTCTGCCACACTGCCCCATCCTCCACCTCGGCATCAACATGGCATGTCACTTCCTTTGGTGGTCTCGCAAAGGTGTGTAGTAGCCTGCAGAAGAACTAACATCCTCACCCGACAAACAACATAAGAGAACGCTACCGGCTAGGCTGTGGTGGCCTTAGAAAGGGAGAAAGAAGAAAAGGTACTGCATGCACACCTTTTTTCTCTGCAGGAGCAGGACGACGAGACAGACTGATGGTGTGGCCTCAGGAGAGAGAGTGGGAGCTCTATTTTTTATTGTATTGTGCCCTCAATGAAGTCAATAGCCTAGAAAGAAATCTTCGACTTCACCCCAGAGTCGGCTCCTCCAACGATAACATCAAAGAACCAAACTCCTCCAATCAAAAGCAACGCCGACGAAGAAACTAAACAAACCCTACCTAGATCTAGATAGAAAAAATATGTACACCGGGAACCTTGCTCCCCGATCCCCATGCCCACCAGAGCCAAAGCAGGCGCCGTCGGCGAATATGTGAATTGAAGGAGACCGGTCCCTGGATCGAATCGCCTCCCAGTCGCCTACGCTCACCTGTAGCAAGGAAGAGTCGAGAGACTGCTAGCTCATAGGCTGCTAGTACCACTAAGTCTGGTCTCCTAGCAGGCCTAGCCACCACGCCCTGAGCGGAATGGTCATGCAGCCTGTTAGCGTGATCGTATTTGACTTATAAGCCATGGCTTATCAGTCAACGAATAATATTTTTCTCTCACATCAATCAGCCAACAGTATTTTTGGCCATGGCTTATATGCTAAACCAGGCCAAAAGAACAGGATGATGGATGACACTGAACAAGGGACATGACAGGGCTGAGCCCACCCAACATTCAGGTCCGTTTCGAGATCTACTGCTACTTGCTCTGTCCCAAATTATCTATCGTTTTTAGTTTCCGTACCACAAGTTTGACTTGATTTATAAAAAATACGTGCAATATTTATAACTTTAAATAAATTTATTAAAAACTAGATTTAAAAATCTTTCTAGTAATACTAATTATATACCATAAATAAAACGACAAAAAATTGGGACTGAGCGAGAACATTGAGCCCAGTTCGACTTTGAACTTAGAATTCCATCGCAAGAACGACAAAGCTCGACGCGTAACGTCTCAACGCTACCACCCCACGGGGCCCACCACCCGCGGATCCCACATCTGACCGTAAAGCGGCCGGTCAGCGCGAGCGCGACGAGCCGTACGCAACCTACAAGGACGCCGAGACAGCTGGCTCCCCTCCTAGCTGCACGATCACGAACCGACGGCCGCGATCGGCCCTTCCCTCCGCCTCGGATCCCCCAATTCCCACCACGAGTCCCGTCCCGGTCCAGGACGCGAGGCGGAGCAGGCGCGCAGGCCGCACAGGCCAACGGACCAGAGCAAGGAGCCCAACCCAAGCAAAGCCGACCGGCCGGCCGGCGCAGGCGCGGGCGCAGCGCACGCGGTCCGAGCGTGCCGGGCCCGGACTCCCACGGCGCCGAGCCGGTGTCTGTCCCTGTCGGACCCGCTCGGACCGACCGAGCCGGCCACCAAACCCTATCCACCCCGCCGAGGCCTCCCTCCCTCCACTCCCCGGACCCCTCCCCTCCCGTCTTAAAACCGCCACCACGACGGCGCCTCGTCGGAGAAACCACCACCAAGTTCAACAACGCCCGCAACCGCAACAACACTCGACGCACGCAGCCTTCGCCTTCGCCTTCGCTTTCGAGGGGAGGTTCTCTCCGTCTTCGAGCCTGCGGTTGCTCAACTCAAGCGAGGAGGAGGAGCAGCAGTAGCAACAGAGTCGTCGCAGATGGATCGGTACCACAGGGTGGAGAAGCCGCGGGAGGAGGAGGCCCCTATCGGCGCCAACGAGATCCGCATCACGGCGCAGGGCCGGCCCCGCAACTACATCACCTACGCGCTCGCCCTGCTCCAGGTTCGAGTTCGACCCACACGCCTACCTTCTGCTGCTACTTGCTCCTTTGCTTCCGCCGCCGTTCAGCCTATATCCATCTAGGATTCTAGGCGGAGAAGGAAACCAACCGCGGTTTTTATTTTTACCCCCGGGGGATTAAAAAGGCTAGGGTTTTAACTAAGTGCGGGTTCGGCGAGCGTGCAGCTCTGCGGGCCGCGCGGCGAGGGTCTGAAGTGGCCTCGATGGTGCTCCTTCGGTTAGGGCTTCGAATTTGAATTATTTACTGTTTCTAGGGCTCGTGCGGTTAGGGCTTCCAATTTGAATTATTTACTGTTCTACTAGGGCTCAGATTGCGGTTACGCTTATTATTCCCCCCCAATGGCGAGGAAGGGCCGTAGCAACCACCTGCTGGCGTTGGTTACGGAGTACTATTAATTTCGCTATTTTATTAGAAGATTGCGTTGGGTAGGAGTGGTTTATTGGTTTGCATCATTGTTGTACATGTTGGATATGTGGGGTCTCTGTGTGCAGATGCATCTTTTACTGTTTGACTAAGATACTCAGTTTGGATTTTTGGATTAAATTTACTCATGTATGATATTTTCACATGGATTGATTATTATGGATGCTGAATTTAGTACTGTTCATTAATGAATCTTCGTACCGTTCCTGCTAGTTGTGATGATGTCCATTATGCTTGTAGGTCGATTTGAATTTTACTACATTAATCTACTACTACTAGTCTGGGGAATATCCATGTCTCGATTACCTAGAATGTCTACTAGACTAGATCATATATTAAATGTTTCGGTTTCTTGTTCCTAATCCATTACAGGACAACGCAACGGATGACATTGTCATCAAGGCTATGGGAAGGGCGATCAACAAGACAGTTGTCATTGTGGAGCTTCTTAAGGTGGGATTGCGGAACACCACTTGTTAATGAATGCTACCCTTTGTAGTATAATATGCCAATTATTGACCCATATATGCTATATATATATCCTGAGCAGAGGAGGATTGCTGGTCTCCATCAGAATACCTCTATTGAATCCATTGACATAACTGACACTTGGGAGCCGTTGGAAGAAGGCCTTGTCACGTAAGGGGCACTATTGTCTTCTGTTTATGTTGTCTTGAAAACAGATACGGCGTATTTTATCTGACCCCTTCATTTTTCCATGACAGTCTTGAGACCATTCGCCATGTGTCCTTGATCACTATTAAATTGTCAAAGAAGGAGCTGGATACATCATCCCCAGGGTACTAATTTCCTTCTACCTCATCTATTCAAAATTTTGCAGGAGTGTACATCTGAATGTTTTTAACTACAATTGTAGATTGTTCAATTTATCTTCCATTATCATGTATACATTGTTTCTGCTAGGATAAATTTGTATCACCTATGTCTACATTTTGCTATGTTTTCTCATATTATAAGCACATTCATACTTGTGTAAGCATAGAAGGTAGTAGATTTAATTACAGAGGACTTTCCTCCAAATAGCACAACCCTTTCTTCTACTTTGGAGAAGCCTGACATTGGTTTGCCAGATTTGTAATGTGCTGACCATAACTGTTTTGCTTAGCAGTTAGGGTAGCCTTTTTCGTTCACTTTTAAATGGATTCTGATGCATTATTTCTCTTTGTGAAACATATATAATGACATGAACATGACTTGTTTCTTTTGCAGTTACCAGCCACCCATACCAGCTGACCAGGTCAGGCCAGCAGCTGAGTTCGATCAGGATGCAGGTGTGCTGCTGTTAATCAGGAATCTTTGTAACATTTTCCTCTTGTCCATGTGACCGAATATTTTTATTTAATTTCTGCAGAGGCTGTACCAAGTGGTCGTGCAAGAGGACATGGTCGTCGGGGCAGGGGCAGGGGGAGGGGAAGAGGTACGCTTGGTTATAGTAGTTTCAGTATGTTTCTATGATCGGACTTACTTTGATATATCTATTATTTCCTCATTGCATTTGGATCACTGCGATGTAGGGTTCAGCAATGGGGGAGTAGACTATCATGATGAGTTTGGAGAACCAGAGGAGGCTCCCCGTGGATATCGTGGCAGAGGGAGGGGCCGTGGAGGTCGTGGATCTTTTGCACCTGGAAGGGGCTATGGTGGTGATAATTATGCGATGGGAGAAGCTGGTGGATATGATGATGGATATAATGCACCACCTATGCAAGGATATGGTTAGTTCTGTTTAGATATATTCTGTGTCGTCTCTAATTTCTTCTTTCTAGTTGTTTATTATAGGACCATCTTAGAAAGTAATTACACCCACTTTTTTTTTTTTTGCTTTGAATTAGTTAGGAGAAGGGCGGGCCTGGTGCAAGCGGTAGAGTCTTACCGCCTGTGACCGGAAGGTCCCGGGTTCGAGTTGCGGCCTCCTCGCATTGCACAGGCGAGGGTAAGGCTTGCCACTAACACCCTTCTCCAGACCCCGCACAGAGCGGGAGCTCTCTGCACTGGGTACACCCTTTTTTTTTGAATTAGTTAGGAAGTAGGTGGTTTTATAACATGAAGTTCAGTGAAACATTTTTTTTCCATTATTTTCTACCATCTCTCAAGATAACTTTAGCACTCATGATTCTTTATTGGACATGAAACTATATGGAATTAAAATATTAAACGTGCAGTAACTTTATCAGCTGTTTCTTTTTGAGCTATTTATGTAAAAAATAGGAAGGAATTGCCTTTCTTTATCTTCAGAGTCATCTGAAAATTTCCCCCTGGGATGAGTACTGAATCATTTGTTATTAACTGCAGAAGGTGGCAGAGGAAGGGGCAGAGGTCGGGGCCGTGGGCGTGGAAGCCAAGGCCAGGGACCTCCTCCACAGCAGTAGATTGGATGGTGCATCAACTCTGGGATGCCATAACCTAGCAGTAGATTGGCTGGTGCATCAACTCTGGGATGCCATAACCTCTGTTCCTTCCACAAGTGTTACCGTCCCTTGTAACATTTTATCTGGTTACTAGGTTTATGTTGAAAGTTGACATAGTGACTCCAGTGTGGGGAATGAGGCTAGTTATGATTTTGTAGCTAGGTTATTCGTCCATTTGCCTATTTATTATCTCGTCAGATCAGACTTGGTGCCGTTCCAATTGTGTAAAACATGTTATCTTGAAAGTTACTTCAGAAGATTCTTTTATGTTGCAAATCACAGACTGAAAACGTTTGTTTTCAACTTGAATACCATAGTTCTGTGAACATGATAGTGAAATGCACTTAACAAGTTCAGCGTCTAGCCAAAATTTGTTGTTTGCTTCCTATTGTCCTAGCCTCCTTTACTTTTTAGTTAACCCTTAATTTTGAGTCTTAATCTCCCTGAGTAATCGATTTCTCAGCACCCGGCTCTTGAGCGATGAAGAACTAAACTCTTTATTGTTTGATCCTAGCAACTTGTTCACCGTTGTGAACGCAGTTTTGTCTTTGTTAACACTGGTTTTAGGTGTAGTGAGTTGCTGGTCGCTTGTCGCTTCAGACAGATTATCACAAGCAAAAGTGTAATATATTTTCGTCTCCCTTCAATTTAAGCTGCTGCTGCAAACTACTGTAATAATTGTGCAGCACTGTTTCTTTGTTCCAAACAGGTCCGCGTCAGGAAACAGCAATGAGAAGGGAGTCCAATATTGTCCCTAAGCCTCAAGTTCATCACAGTTCACAGGCAATAGGTGTAGGAGTTATTTTGGAATAAAAAAGAGCTTTCCATGGAGTCGTTAATTCGTTATTTGCAACAACATTCGTTATTCCAGCACAATACAAGAGAAGATTATGAGCAAACGGACCCAAAAGAGTTGAATGGAAGATTTTATTAAATTTCAAGTGCATTATATTGATAAGTCATGATTTTTTTCCGGCCTCTGTATAACCAAAGAAGTATATAGCCTTTAATAAAAAGAAGTCATCCACAATCTAGTAACACTTAGCCCGAATACTAGAACGCCACATATGTACCTGTGAGAAAATAACCTTGGCCACCTATGCTAAGTCTTGCGTAGCCTTCACAACCAAATCCTGTGAACCCTTATCAAAAAAAAAAAAAAAATCCTGTGAACCTGACTTCCGAAGGATAGCCCATATATGGAGCCGGTGTTTGAGTGAATTCAACTCTTTTGGTGAAAGAATGGGTTCGACGTGAGTATTTCTAACCGTTTCCGTGACGCTTGGTGGATAATAATATGGCCTGGGCAGCTAAACATAATCTTAGTTATTTCCCTAGACCCTATGTATTTATTTTAATTATTTATACATTAAAAACAGCGGGCATCCCGCCTAAACCCTGGCTTAGCTTGATGCAGCACGTGGAATGATCAAGGGTATGATTTTCGAGCCAATAAAGAACCTTTTTTAGCTTGGCTCACGAAATACTCAGATCTAGGATGGGTAGTCTATCTAGAAAGATAGATATAAACCGATAAAGAAGAAGGAAAAATATAGAGAGATACCCATCCCAAAAAAAATAAAGTTCTTTTGGCCCGCAAAAAAAAACTTAGTTATAGTAGAGAGACATGAAACAGCGAGGAAGGAACACCTACAAATCTGCTCTCTCCCCTCCTCATCTCTCATAAATCGAAGTGAGCGCTCTGTGGTATGACTGGCTTATTATTTTTATTTTTATACTATAAATTCATTTTTTATTAGTTGGTAAAGGTTCTTACTATATTATCGACTATGTCTTGTATTGAGAGCATAATAGTATCTCAGCTAGAATGCTCCACTTAGATTTTCTTTTCATATCTTGAATAAAGAATTTTTTTACAATGTCATCTAACGTTCATATGCTAACTATATTCCACTAAAATAATGATTTTTTTTGTATTAGATATTTCATTCAACCATTTTTCTCATCTATTGACTCGTAACCTCTGGGATTCCTTACAAATTCTGCTGATCATAAGAACTGAATTCAATATTTTTCTTGTGGATTTGACGTTCAGATATTGTTTTTCCTCTCAATTAATTAAATTTTCGATTAAATAAAGGACTAAGGAGGAATATATAGGAGTTGTAGATTTTTTCCTAAAAAACAAAAAGGAAGAGCACCTTTGTATAAAGATTGGGCTGGATGGCCCATATCCTTGTAGGGTGGGCCGTACGGGAGACTTACTAAAGCAAAAGGAACTGCTCCGAATTCACGCGAGTCCCCAACAAGGCCACAAGTCCCAATTCCAAAACCCTCTCTCCGTCCCGTCCTACCCTATCGCCGGCGATCTCCTCCTTCGCCGCCAATGGATCTCTCCGCCGTCCAGGCCGCCCTCTCCGACAAGTCCTACTCCGCCCTTGCCCCCCTCTGCGATGAGCTCCTCCTCCAGGTACCCTTCTGGCCTCTCTCCCCCAACCCCGTCCCACATCCGCGCAAGGGTTAGCGCCCCGCCTCACGCGATTCAACTCGCAGGCCGCGTCCAAGGGAGCCACCACCGACGAATGGCCCTACTCCGTCCACCTCCTCGCCCACCTCTACGTCAATGACCTGTATGCGATCCGCCGCCCTTGCCCTCGTTTTTTCCCCTTCCTTTTCTGGGTTTGGGGCTAGGGTTTTGTTAATGACGATGCCTTTTTGTGTGTGCGTGGTTGGGGCTTGGGAGTGAGCAGGAACAGCGCACGGTTCTTCTGGAAGTCGTTGCCGCAGGAGGTGAAGGAAACGCGGCCGGAGCTCGCCGCGGTCTGGAGGATTGGTCAGTGCCTCTGGAACAGAGATTATGCTGGCGTCAACACGGCTGCACAGGGGTTCGAGTGGGGCCCTGACCTCGCTGAATTCATCACTGCCTTCCTAGGTATATGGATTGCTTTCATTGTTATCGATGACTTATAATTTTCCTATGGTTGTGTGCAAAGTAGCGAAGTGAAACTTGAATTGTTTGCTTTCATAGAGATTTGATAGTCTAGTGGCATGGGTGGGTAGAGGCTGTTGAACATATTGTCACCATGGATTTGTAGTGGGAGAATTTATCTGTTGAATTGGGCTGCACTGAGAATCAGACATCCTCTGTGAATATGATGATGGAGAAGTTCGCAGGGGAACTTCATGGCTGTTCTACGATACTCTGACTTATTCTGTCAAATTTATTGTTTCAAGGTGTCAACTGTCTTTCCGTAAGATGGTATTTTTCATGCCAACAAATCAGGTACTTATATTGTTGTGCTATATAGATATCATATCAAAACACAAAATATGCTGGCGTAGAATGCACCTTTTGACATAGTATGTAGTGAACCAATAGCCCATTGCTATCTGTTACTTGAGAGGAAGTTATGACTGTAATCCTTACATCTTCTGTTCAAAAATTGTAAAATTATAAGTGCGCCTCTTAATTTAGTGACCAGGCAGAATTTATTAAAAACAAAATTGAGATGTTGAATAATTTAATAATATTCTTCCTCTGGCGTTCTCTGTACAGAAAGTATGATTTCCAGGGTGTTAACATGGTGAATGGTTTTGTTTTTCTAGCTTGATTGTTTTTTTATAATGCGAGTTTAACTAGTTAAGGACTTTAGGTGGATATCTGATCTTCGTTGTAATGCAGAGAGCTACAGACAGAGGATATTCAAGCTGTTGACTTCTGCGTATTCCACAATTAGCGTGGCTGATGTGGCTCATTTCATGGGGATGAGTGAGGAGGATGCTACAAACTGTATGTTTCACAATCCACTCATTTATATTTTTTTTTCTAGTTTCAACGTAAGAGTTCTACCATATTCAATGTTTTTTTGGGTATGTTTTAAGTTGTAGTGGAGTGGTGCACTTTTGGGATATGTTGAATTCTTTTCAACTTTGCGACTCATTTCTTTGTCTTAGATTTATTAGATTGTTGCATTTAAAACGTGTTTCCTCAGCTCTTGAATGTAAATGTATTGAAGAAATGAGTGCTCAATCGTACTTTTTTTTTCTCTAGCTGTAAATATTTACTGATGGGGTTGGATCGTGTTAGATCCTATAACTCTTGAGAAGTCTTATATTTGTAACACCATTAACTTATTTTATGTATAGATGACACAATTGATTTCCAGAAGGGCAGGCCTGGTGCAAGCGGTAGAGTCTTACCGCCTGTGACTGGAAGGTCCCGGGTTTGAGTCGCGGTCTCCTCGCATTGCACAGGCGAGGGTAAGGCTTGCCATTGAGACCCTTCCCCAGACCCCGCACAGAGCGGGAGCTCTCTGCACTGGGTACACAATTGATTTCCATCTACCTATTGATCCACTTTATAAGCATAAATTATGAGTCTTGACATTGAGAGATTTTGATTGTATTACCATTGAGTCTTATTTGAACTGAACATCATCACCTTATTATCTTTTAAATATATATAAGAGGTTCTTGTGGGCAGTCTCATTTGTCCTGATCTGATATGTTTTACTTATGCTTACAATAATAGCTCTAAACTTATTTTCTCATTGCCAGCAACTTTTCTAGTAACTAGTATATTTGTTATGCTAAAGTGATTTGCCTTCTATTGATCTCAGGCTATCTTATACTTCCACATCTCTCGTAGTTTGCCTACTTAGTTGCCTAGTATGAACTTTCAAATTTCAAAAACAGTAGAAATAGGGAATATTTAACTATTTGCCATTATGTTGAGGTGGGTGGAAAAGGATTTGCCACTTTGTGATGGGATGGATGTGAGAGGCCAGAGCGTGACGCCTCTAATAATGGCAAAAATGTCCCATTCTGGCTTACTATTGACCAGTGACTTGCATGGATAATAGCCGTGGTACTGTTGGATACTACATAGAGTTTTAGTGTTTCCACTTCTCTGGATTTTTATGTTGTGCATCAGTTTCCCCCTACATTTCTTTAGAATGTCATATGTGTAACTCAGTTTGATAAGAACTTCAGTTAGCTCTTTGCACTATTACTTTATTTGGATTATCAGTGCTGGGAAACATTTTTGTATGCGTATAAATGTGTGATGGCTGCCTGAACTACTTTGGCAGATGGGCCTGTGTACTTGGTGTGCAGATAGCTATGCAAATTTTCCCTTGCCCTGTTGCAGTTGATCTTTACCTGCTCTAGAATTATTAGATTATAACAACTTCTGTTGCCCCCATTGCAGATGCTGTGCAATACGGTTGGAGCTTGGATGCAGCGACCAGGATGCTTACTGTCAAAAAGCTAAAGGCTCAGACCAACCAGAAGCTTGACGCGAGCAAGCTGCAGCGTTTGACTGAGTGTGTTTTCCACCTTGAGCACTGATGCTCGCTGTCAATCGTGTTGCATCCCCGTTGGTTCTCTACTCCACATTTTAAGAAGCATGTTTATCAATTATCATGTGATAGCTAGATGCCTGAACGACCGGTCGCTTTTGGCTGAGAAGTGAGATCTCTCAGTGATGAATTTCTCTGTAAGTGGTTTCTGATAGCGTGCTAGCGGTTACTGAGCCTATTGGTTGTTCGTATGGTGGCCCCTCCGGTCAGACGCGCACTGAATTGAGTCAGACTTCGTCATTACTCTGGACCTTACTGAACCACTTCGACTTGGGCACCGTTTGGATGCCGAATTTTTTGGCGAAATGCTACGGTAGCATTTTCATTGTTATTTGACAAATAGTGTCCAATTATAGTTTAATTAGGTTTAAAAGATTCGTCTCGTGGATTTCGTCTAAACTGTGTAATTAGTTTTATTTTTTATTTATATTTAATGCTTAATGCATGTCTTCAAAGATTCGATGCGATGGTGTTTTGGAGTGGAACTAAACAGAGTTGCTCATGCCCACGGTCCAACATATTTAATAGTGAACTCTCTTGACATTTGTAAAAGCTGGTTGATAACTTGCATTGTTTCACACTAAAAAGGGTCTAAACAAATGACCAGGAACTGAAACAGGAAGTAGTTGTCATTAAATTTCCCAATATTATTGCAGAGAGCTCCGATCGTTGGTAATGTCGGTATAAGCATTGCGTGTGTTTGATTCTCTAGCTGGATTCGATGACTAGAATCTGCTACACGCAATCCACAGTGCACAGTATTCCAAAGTGCCGCGCCTTTCTTCAACCTCTAGCACCTCCAAGCTTCAATCTATGGCAGAAAAAATTGAGAGGGAAACCTCTAGCACCTCTGAGCTTCAATCTATGGCAGAAAAAATTGTAAGGGCGTTATGAGGAGCTCCGCACACGAGAGCACCCAGTAGCCTCCTTGTTGGATCCGCTAGGTAGTAAGGCCAATTCAACTTCCGTATGATCATTTTCGACTCCAGAAGAGATCAGATTTGGCCCGTTCATTTCTTCGTTATTGCGGAAGTCTCAGACCCTTCACCAACGTTGTCTTGGTAAAATGGTGTGAAACAACAATGCAGATATAATGGAGTTCCCAATGCCTGCCAATCCTAACCTATACGACCTGAGTCATTCCCAGCTTTATCTCCCTCAACGGTTCGTCCCATGTCCTTCCCCCTCTACCCTCGGCTGCATAGCACGCCCTTGGGCCTCTTTGTTGTCTTTTATAGTCACAGATATATTTGTTCCACCTAATCTTGCAATAGTGTAGTCCCGAATTTAAGAAGAGAACACACACTTTGCAGCAGCATGTAGTCATCACAACTCATATAATCACACTAGGTACGCAAGTATTTTGCGTCATGGTAGCCGGTACCTATTAGGCCATTACCTATATATTGTATGGTTATGCATTTGTAAGGATGTATAACGCTACAAATCATGAAAATTGACTATCATCTCGTGGGTGAAGCATGCTGCCGGCACCAACAAAAAGAGAACAATAGCCCAAGCAAATTACCCCTTTTGGCTAAAGCATGCTGCCGGCACCAACAAGAGCACAATAGCAGAAGAAAGGTATCTCAAACTTGCACTCTCCCACCACAGCCGAAGTCAATATGGGGTTGATGGGCTTTTCAAACTGAATTCAAACTCAGAACGAATTTAACACAAACCCAAATTCAAGATAATTCAAGCTAAGTTTTGATCTTCCTGTTTTCTTAGTCCATAATATAATTGATATCCTTTAAGTCAAGATCTGTAGATGCTATCTTTAACTTGCAGTTTGCAGTTTTGTTTACCAAGTCCAGCCATCACTCATTCCACTGCCGACAAGCAAACAGAGGTGGCAATGGGCCATGGCCATAGCATCTCTTCACTATTCAACCCATGATGCTTATGATTCAGAATGAATTTTATAGATGATACTTGTACATTGGATGCATTTGTAAGGACATGAACGCTGAATGTTAGATGATGGCAACGTAGCTAGCTTAGTCTTGACACTTTGCATAAGTATGACCATTTCGAGTAGCTAGGAAAAGAAAAATGCTTGTTTGGCAAACCGGTGGAACAGATCAAAATATTACACAAAATTCTACCTCGCCACCAAATATCATGTATTATCGTAACGAATCCAAGTTCTATTAATTGTATATTGCTCATCTAGGTTTATCAGTCCCTGCATGATAGCCGAGATATCTTGGGGCTATCACGGAGGGGGCAAGAGATTCGGAATTTTGGGTTTTGAAATTTCAGTTCGTTTCACCCTGCTTCAGGCTGAGTGCAGTTTCAAGCTTACATTTTACTTGTGCCTAGTCCACATATATATTATGTAAAATCAAGAAAATGGACTGTATCACCTTGTGGCTGAAGCATGCTGCCAACAAAAAGATTAAAAGATGACATTAGCGAAAGTAAAAGCATGTTGCCGCTATCAACAACAGAACAATAGTGCAAGAAAGGAACCACAACAATTGCTGTGCGTTTTCTCCCCTGCCAAAAAGTAACATGGATTTGATGGGTATTCGAATTTAATTCAAATTCAGAACGAATTGAACACAAACTTAAAACCAAGGTAATTCGAGCTAAGTTTTGACCTTCTTGTTTTCTTAGTTCATATCATAATTGATATCCTTTGAGTCAAAATTTATTTATAGATGCTATCTTTAACTTGTACTTTGCAGTTTTGAATTATGACAAATCCACTCATATGCCAGCCGGAAAAGCAAACAGAGAGTGTTGCGATGTAGTCACGTGCGCCCACTGTTTCTAACTGCAAATTTCCCCATGGCAAAATTGCAGTAACACCGTTCCATCCCATGGTAAAACTGCAAATGGCCAGTTTACTAGGTCAAATTCAGTCTGTGAACTCCGTAGGAAGAGTCTAATCCTCACTATTTAACCCAGCCCATAATTATTTTTAGTTCACAGGCATGGTAGTTGAGTTCCTTATGCCTGCCAATCCTATATGGCTTGAACCATAAGCCTTACATTTCCCCACGCGATATGCCATCCCCATTTATCTCCTCTTCCCATGTCCTTTGCTCCTCTGCTCCTGCTCCTTAGAACACCCTTTTGGGCCCCTATGTTGTCTTATATACAGCATGTTCACTTGTTGGTTTTAGCCAGGGCTTATCAGCCAGCCAAAAGTGTTTTCCTCTCATAGCAAACCAGCACCAGCCGGGCTTATCACCCAGAAACCAACCAGCGAACAGGTCGATAGTCACAAACATATTTGTTCTACTTAATATTGCAATAAGGATGTCATCCTACATTTAAGGGAAAAAATACACTCCGCGGCAGGGTGTAATAATCAGAACTCATATTCACACTACATGTTGTACTCCGATCCACCTACTACGCATCATGGCCCGATGACAGTGCGTATATATTATAAGATTGGATGATGGGTGCATTTGTAATGACGTGGATGCTGAACGTTAGATGATGGTAGTGTAGTAAGCTCAGTCGTTTTTGTTTTTGAAAAGAAAAAACTTAATTCTCCTTTACAGGTTATCAATGCAATCTCCCACAGGCTCCTTTCGTGGGCTATCCTTCAGAGTTTGGAGTTCTAGGATATAATTGTGGCGGCATCACGCCGTTTGGAGCAGGTGGCGAAGGATATCTTTACTCGGGCATATGGATGACGATCTAGTCTTAGGATTGAATGTCACTAGAGTGTGCTCAGTCTTTTATCTTTAGCTGTGTGCCTATCCTCTAGACCGAGCCTGGAAGCTTTTCATTCCAAAGTCATGTATCAACACGATGTACTGCTACTGGAATGCAATAAAATCTTTCGTTTCAAAAAAAAGAGTTAGCTCAGTCGTGGCACTTTGCATAAGAATGACTCGGCTTCTGACTAGCTAGGGAGAAAAATGATTGTTTGGCAAACAGGTGCAAAAGATGAAATCCTACTATTACTAAGGGCGTGTTTAGTTCCGAAAATTTTTGGCTTTTGGCTACTGTAGCACTTTCATTTGTATTTAGCAAAAATTGTCTAATTATGGACTATTTAGAAAGGAAAAAGATCTTTCTCTTTCGGGAATGATTTCTCGGCCAGTTTGAAACCTTGTATTTTTAGTTTTTTCGTCTCACATTTAGTACTCCATGCATGTGGACATTTAAAGATTCATGTGATAACATGGAGTCACACCCAATCTTCAAATTTTGCGATGCACTCCACGTGTCAAGTTTTTTGCTTGGCTCATCTTGGTTGATCGTTCGAACACCAAGTCGATCTTTGCGTGTGCATGACACTCTCTGTGCATCAAAATTTTAGGTTTTGGAGACATAAAGTTTTCAAAGAAGGAATCCGAGTCTTAGTTTATGGGGCCTAACTAGAGGTCTCAATAGATGCACCACATTAGTCTTGTGCCACTCTAGGACAAAAATGCGTTTTCTCCCCTGCCAAAAAGTAACATGGATTTGATGGGTATAACCAAACTTAAAACCAAGGTAATTCGAGCTAAGTTTTGGGCTTCTTGTTTTCTTACATATCTTACCTTGGGAAAAAAATGCAAATAGATACTATAATCAGTCGTAACATCTTACCTTTAGATTGGTAGAATCTAATCATCATCGTCGATAATAGCCATAAAGAATTACCCACCTATGTTATTATGGAAAATACATAAAGTAACCCCTTAATTTTATGTCTAAATTACCCACCTCTGCCATTACAAATGATAATTCAAAATAACTCCTCAATTTGTATATATAAATTACCTACGTATGTCATTATGAAAAATTATTTAAAATAACCTCCTAAATTTGCATCTAAATTACCCATTTTGCAGTAATGCAACCTAATTGAAAATATCCCCCTCACATTGCATCTAAAAAAAATTACCCCCTTTGCTGTTATGAAAGATAATATAAAATATCCTCTAACTTTTTATCTAAATTACCTACATCTATCATTATAAAAGATAATTTAAAATATGTCATAATGATTTTATATATTACCCACCTTTATAATTA